ATATATATATATATATATATATACATATAACATTATAAATTTATAATTGTTTTGACGCGTAAATTAACTACAATTTTATAATAATTTACACGTTAAAAAAAAATATAAACACATTTCTCGCGCGTACATGCAGTTTGGTTCTCAAAGTCTCAATTCTCGACATAATATATTTTTCAATTTGCTAATACAATTTACGATCGATGAACACAATTATTATTTTTTTTAATTTGTTCCCGACGAGATTAGGCACTTCGGAATACTTTGCTATATTTTTTTAGTTTTAAAGTAGATAAATGAAAACGCATGTCGGTTGTTTTCTTTGAGAAAGGGGGAGGGAGTTTTTAACAAAAAAAAAGAGGTAAGTATTCACGTTTTCGTGAACCAAAAAAAAAAAAGAAACGTCAGACAATTATGTAACAGAGGGGTGGACAAGAAACGTGGACTCGGTCTGCGTTTCAAAGCAAGCAAGTTCTTCTTCTTCGGGATGTGAGAATCGCTTCGTTCATGTTAATAGATTACACATGATCGAACACGCGGCGTTTCTGCGAAATTCCATCCGCGTACGCGGCGTTCTCCTGCGAACAAAAATACGTTTATCGCGTTGTTTGCGATGTAAATTTTGTACAATTTTACTTAATTAACTTTTTAGGAATTTTTGTTTTTTTTTTAACCTTTAGAAGAATTAAAAACATGCAAACATACAAAAACTCGCTGCGCGTCAAATAAAATTTGATTTTTTTTTTGACACAACAGATTTGACATGTGTTACAGTTGAAGTGAAATCTTTTTTCGTAGGTAACGTCTATCGGCGGGCTTAAATACGGTCTTCCTCGTGGTATTCCATTAGCACGACCAACATTTCAAACACGCGGAGTGAATCGTGTGCCCACTACCGCCGGACGTGGAAAGAAAACTCAAATGAAGGTAAACGAGATATTAATCTTTTGAGAAAAAAACGTTTGGTTGAGAACAAAAAAAAAAAAACAAAAAAAAAACAGAAAGAAAAAAAAAAGAAAAAAAAGAATTTATATCGCGGGAATCGAATCCGGAAACAGAGTTCTTGCTTTGCTGGACGAACTGTGTATCTTTATCACTGTTTAGGTGACCACTAAAAAGAAAGCTCCTCTCAAAAAGAACAAAGAAATCGAAAAGAAAGATAGCAAAAATCGTATCACTATAGACGGAATCACCGATTATAAGTAAGTGTTTTAAGTGTTTCCCGCACATTTGAAACCCAATGTTGTAAATCAAGTATATGATATATATATATATATTATATATATATATATATATCGATGTGTCGATTAATTTGTGCGAACAACTCTCTTTTGCAAATTTTTCGATTTCGCAAACGTAACGTACGACTCCACGTACATGTTTGAGTAATTTTTTTTTGTTTTTTGAATCATAATACTTTGACTTGCGTGCATACGACAAAATTCAAACACTTTTCTTTTCTTTTTTTTTTTTTTTTTTTTTTTTTTTTTTTTTTTTTTTTTTTTTTTTTTTTTTTTTTTTTAAATAACCAGACAGGAAAATTTAATCGCATTTAACTGTAATGTCTATTATGTGATGCGCTCTCTATTTTAGCGAGACTCAAACTGATCAAAACGAAGTTCATAAACACAAAGACGCGCTGCCCGCGACAGGGCAGTTCGATGACGCAGTGGAAAACGGAAAGGGCATGGAGAAGGGGCAAGGCGATGCGCCACTCATTACCACAGAAAATTAGATATCGTTATGCACACAGTTACACATACACACGTTCCACACATACACACATACACATACACACACACACACACACGACACAGACGAATTTTCAAAAAGAAATGACTATTACTCCCGGATTGTGACTCAAGACTGCTAAGAATCTTACTTATATGTTTTGAACGATTACGCACAGGTAACATTCGAGTGTGGCTGCCGGTGAACAAAATAATTGCGCGAGTTTTTTTTTCCGATCTAAATTTGAAAAACTGCTTTTCAAAATTGAAAACAATTCTCTTCTGTGTGTATTACCAAAATTAAACCATTTCGCGAATTTCTCATTTTATTTTTCAATTATCTCATTTATATTTCTCATTTATTTTTCAATTATCTCATTTATATTTCTCATTTATTTTTCAATTCAATCTTTCGAACCGATCCATAGAAATTTTTGTGATTAAAGTTTTCGAGATGTGATCGAAATTGCATTCCAAATTTCAATCTTTTCCAAAAAAAAAAAAAAAGATTCGATTTATTTGTCATTTTGAGATACAAGATCGTAATTGCAAATTTCGAAAAAACGATGAAATAATTTAATTAATTTGTCATTTCGAGAAATGATCGAAATTGCAAATGTCGATCTTTTCGGAAAAAATGATGAAACAATTTTATTTCGAGATATAATCGAAATTGCGAATTTCGATCTTTTCCAAAATAATGATAAAACAATTTGATTGATTTGTCGTTTCGAGATATTATTTAAGATATAATCGAAATTGGATTGCAAATTTCGGTCTTTTCCGATATGAAAAACTGATGAAAAAAAAATTCGATTAATTTGTCATTCCGATGAGTTCGGACGAGAAATTGGCAGACGGTCGCGCGAATGTTACGTGCGCAATGGTTCCAAAGCTCTTACGGGGCCAAATATTGCACTAATGATAGGAGAGACATAAAAAAAGAAAATCTTCGGCTCAACGGCGCCCCCCGGGTGTGATCCCCGGGACACCGTTGGAGAGTGGAAGATTTCACCACGTTCGTGACATGTACGCGATTTTTTTCAATGTCGTCACTGCCAAAACGTACCATTTATGTAAGATAGAAAAGACAAAGAAAAATCGCGCTCGTACTAACTAAGGACGAAAAACAAAACAAAAAAAAAAAAAGAAAAAAAAATGCGCAGCGAGCGCTTGTCCGCGCTCGCCGATTATTTAAATGGAATAGAACTCGACTGATTAAAAGTACGCGTGCGCTAATTTTACTACTCGAGAAAAAAAAAAACAAACAAACAAGTCGTCTCAGCTGCTATAAGTATTTAATTCTTAAAAAGTGTGATTATTTTTTTTACACGAAAATATATATTTTCCGGTATTATATGAAATGCTCGCTGCGACCCGTCTCAGCGGCGACTTTTACCGAGATTCTGTCCGAGGAAGAAAGTAAAGAAAAACAAAAAAGAAAAAAGAAAAAAAAAAACAAACAAACAAACTAACTAAAGCCAACAAGGCTGTGAACATCAACGGACGTTGTTGAACAAATCGCCGTTTAACAAAACCGACACACACACACAAACACACAAATACAAAAACGCGCAGCGCGTTTTAACTGAGACTTTTGTAGATAGAAAAAAAATTTAATACACGCGCGCCGGACGGGACGCTGAGACGGTCGCCAGCACATGGAGACTGATGCTTTTCATATAGGTAAAATATATATTTATACACCACATATAAATATGATTTAGATTAGAGTTCCCGTATAAATATATATATATATTATATACATATATAAATATATATATTATACGTAAGTTGTGCCTGTGTGTATGATATGTGTACCTCCAAGTCTCCGGTTTGAGAGAAGTTGAGAGATAGTTGAAAGGGAGAGAGAGCGAGAGATGCGATTGTTGACCAAGAGCGCGGGAGGAATGAAAGTGCAAAGCGTACCACAATAATATGTACATAAATGTATGTTACGTCGTTGCGAACGCGTGTACACACGCACGCACGCGCGCACACACGCACACACACACACACACATACATACACACACGTGCGTGCGTGCGTGCGTGCGTGCGTGAGTGCGCGCGCGTTTGCGCGCAAATCTAGGTCATATATTTATTTGCTGTTGCGTTGGAGAAATGCGTGAATGCTAACTAATACCGAAATGACCGAAGTTGAGATTCGGAGAGCGTTTCTATTTTGAAAAGTCTGCGGCGTGCGCACGCGATTACACGCTTTTTCTTCACGTTAAATCATGCGGATTATATAGAAGCATTTTCTCACCCCTCCCCCCCGTCGAAAAGGGAGAGAGATATACACAGTTTAGCGACAGATTGAACGCTATCGTTGCTTTACTTGCCTCGTATATGATTTAACGCGAAGAAATAAAAATCAAATGTGTCACGGGACTTGAAATCTTGTCGACTTGAGATTTGCCGTAAGGACGCGCGCGTTTGAGAAGCAGGAGCGTTCGTTTGAAGAAAAAAAAAACAAAAAAAAAAGTCACGTCCTTACGGGAAGACTCATATTGTTTGGAAAAAAAAAAAAATATGCTACATTACGCGACACACGTGTTAGTTGGTTAAAAACTAAAAAAAAAAAAAAAAAAGAACGAAGCGTGATACAAAATGTTCTAAATGTTTTTTACGAAGATGTGTGTTTAGTTGAAACACAACAAAATGTTGATTCGATTTTTTATCGCCGAGTTTTGCGTCAATTTTGTATTTTCTAATATATTTTGTGCGTTTTTTCTTGTTCCGACACATACTGTATTAATATATAATATTAATATATTTAAAACGTGCGTTGTACACACCTCACATTTTTTGTTTTGTTAAAAAAAAAAACAGAGAAATTCATTAAAACCAACAAAAAAAACCAAAAAACAAAACTCCACAAAAAAAACCAAAAAAAAAAAAAAAAAACAAATTCCTATCGCGTTTGAGAAGCGATTTAAGCGCGTCTAATGTAGCGTATTTTGACACACTTGTGTAGCTCTTTGTTTAATTGTAAATAATAATGAACAGTTGCTTTAGAAATGACACACAGTGCGACTGATGACACGCTGTACATAACATGAGAATCTTAGAGAGGGCGCGTATTACGTGTTTATCGCGCATTGTGAAAAAAAAAAAAAAAAATAGAGAAGATGATTATGTTAAAAAAATATTTACTATTTATGCGTAGAACAGTCTCCGCAAAAGACTTTCTACCAAAGAGAGAGATCGGGAAGGAAAAAGAGAATTCTTTTTTATCGAGAGATGATGATGATGATGATGATGATGATGTGAAGTGAAGTAACAAGACGGGACGACGAAGAAAAACTGATGATTAATTAAGACGGGAGGAGCGCGCGCGCGTGCGCGCGGAGGATGGTTGATGCATCTTAAAGAGAGAGAGAGAGAGAGAGAGAAACCGTTTATTGAGATAATATAATGAGATATGATAAGATAAAATGTTATATTTTTGTAGATTTGTTATTGCGTAAAATGCATTAGGACAATGAGAAACTTTATATAATTTGAGTAAAATGACAGTTAACGAGCCTGAGAGCAGTTAAACGAGTAAGATCTTGTACGGGAGCGAGGGAGAGACAGAGAGGAGAGACTGTGCGAAGTGCTTTAGACGGCATGTTTAAGGAAGCGCGACATCCGCAGATAAGAAAAAAAAATAACAAAGGAAACGAGTTTCATGCTTTCCTTACATTTCTGAAGCTCTCGGTTTCAGCCCGCAGTTTCGCTCGCGGAAAACGCGAGAGAAAATAAAATAAAATAAAATAAAAACAAGGATAATATTGTGTGTACGTTGTAATAAACATTTAACAGAAGAAACGAAGAATCGAAACAATGTCAGCTTCAATGTGCGCCGAGCATGTGGAAAAAAAAAAAAAACAAACAAATTTTCGAACCACTTTGATACGCGATGCATACGATACGCGATCATCCATATTTGCTTGAAACAAAAAAAAAACAACCACGTTTGTCTCGACCGAACGTTCGCATAATGAAATATCATACGTTTCTGTCACGGATATATATATATATAAAACCACAAAAACAAACTATAGTTTTTCGAGTCATTCGCGAGAATCGTCTCATATGTATGTAAACGATCGATTAGCGTGCGATTACTTTGCGAAGCGATGCGAGTAAGTAAAACAAAAAAACAAAAAACAAAATACGACGATCGCTGCAGCCGGTATTCCTCTTTGTGAATGTAAATTTGAAAAATTGACAAATCTCGTTCGCGCAACGAACGATCGTACACACTTCACACACGTGACACACGCACACGCACACATACACACACACACACACGTACGCATACATGAATGACACACGCAAACTAAAAAAAAGAAAAAAGAAAAACAGACTGTCTTGAATCAGACGAAAAATACGAATTTACGAGAGTCGCAACAAAATGCCACTTTACGCTTTTACGTAAAGATAGATGATTTTCTTTCTGAGAAAACAAAAAAATATCGAACTCTTGATACATAATAAAAATAAATATATATTATACATATATAACTGAAATACAAAACAGAGACACAAATATATATATACATATATATATATATATATATAGACGCAATCGTCGATCAGTTGCCGCCGCACTGACACGCCGATATGACGAAAAATACAAAAACGATGAATAAAAAATAATTTAACGCAAAAAGAAGAAAAAAAACACAAAAACTCGAAGAGTAATACATGCAAAATGACAAAAAAAAAAGAAAGAAACAAACAAAATAAAGAATTCATTCAGAACACAACAGAGAAACGTCGAAGGAACGAGGAAATTTGCGCAAAACACGAACGACGTATAAAAAAAAAAAAAAAACAAACAAACAAACAAAAAAGAAAACGAGAAAAAGGAAAAAAAACAGGCGCGTTCGAACGTGCTTGCTTTTCGTTGTAACAAGTAGTAGAGAAGAGCGGGGCCCACAAAAAAATAAATAAATAAAACACTCGTCTATGATATAAATAAACCAGACACACGTTATTAACGCATTAAAAAGTTACAAGTAATCTATCGTATCTTACACGAAGAAGAGTTGAACGATTTGTAAAAAAAAAAAAAAAAAAAACGACTCTTGACGCATTAAGTGTGTTGCGAAACAAGGTAATGCAATTAATAACACGCAGAAAAAAAAAAACTAATCGTACGTAAAATACTAATCCTCCTCGTACCGATCTTTAACCGGATACGGACCGGATACGCGGCAAACGCGATGGATAGATTTGTCATCAGATCGACGTCCGAGAAAAAACGTAACAAAACGTTATGTTCGCGGGTCTTTTCTCGCGTTCGTCGATTTTTCGCAAATCGACCATTTCTTTTTTTTTTTCTTTGTTTTTCGACGCTTACGCTCTTTCACAGCACGAAGTAGCAATTGCAACACACACACACACACGCGCGCGCGTAGAAAACCCGTCGTTGAAAACGAAATTAATTCGCGCCCTGAATTGTTCGCGACGTTTATATCCCAAAAAAATCTTAATTTTGCTTTCGCTCCCCCTCCTCCTCCGAGTATTTTCGCTTTGCATTTTTTTTTGTTTCTTTCGTAGAATCTCAAGTCGAGAAAACCAAAATAATCATTTAATTTTAACAGTTTGTTTTAATTAATTGCTCTAGAAAAAAAGGGGAGAAGAAGATACGCGATTGTGTTGTTACTTTCATTTTTCTCAAAGTATGTATATTTCGCGTACGCTTCGGACGATAACGGGCGCGTTTGTGTTTCTCCTTTGATGATCCTTTCCCGTAACCATTTGCGAATGTAGAATCGATTTTTCATAGCGACGATCCGATAATTGTTTATTATAAAACAACGCGAGAAAGAGAGAGAGAGAAAAGAGAGAGAGACACAAAGGAAAGAGAAGGGAGTCGCGACCCGCGCGCTCGCCTGTGTTTGATAAATTTTTTAAGTTTCTCCTTTTCCAAACGTAGCTTTGCTTAACATACGTAAATAAACGAGATATAAAATAATTAAACGATAGCAAACGCGAAGTATAATGTAAAGTTAAAAAAATATAAAAAGTAAAAAACCAAAAAAAGAATTAAACACTTATCGATGTAGTTGAGAAACATAAAACTAAAAAGCAAAAAAAAAAAAAAACAAACAACGCGTGTGGGCCCCCGACACAACACACCTATATTCTTATTAAATATCACATAACGTATATATTCTGCTGTTATTATTATTATTATTCTTTTTTTTTTCATAGCTGAGAGAGAAAGAGAGAGAGAGAGAAAGAGAGGAAGCAGGAAATCCAATTT